TAAGCCTGGATAAAGGTGGTTGGAACTTCAGTTTAATGTCTGATCTATAAGGTGTTGCATTCATGGCATAAAATTCTCTCGTGTCTAGATGGGAATGTGGCTCATTATGGACACATTAGAGAAAAAAATTACTTCTGCTAAAGCACAAATACCAACTTTCCTTGTACATTTATTTTCCAAGAAAAGACTCGATTAAGCCATGAGATAACCGTGGACCAGGATGACGTGTATCACCAGATGAAATTCCCTTTCCAGATGTCTGTACAATGTCAGAGATGGAAGTCTGATTTCCATTTCATTATCTTTCAAATTGTTACTGATGAAGTGATGGCTATTTACTTGACATTTTATTCCACAATATTAAGAACATGAGACACAGGACCGAATGCATGCATCTGATCCTGAGTTTGTGCATGGGGAAGACAGAGAAAGAGAGACCATAAGTTAAACAAATAAATTTAGTTTGAGGTGTGAAGTTTTAAAAGTCCCCTGTGACTTAAGAAACTCCAGCAACCCAAGTAAAATGACCCCTCTAGCATATGCTATTCCTGCCCTTTCACTAGAAGCAACTAACTCAAGGAGAAGAGAATGAAGGCCAGTCACACGTGCCATTTGACAACTTCAAAGCACTGACCACTACAATAATATATGCAATACTCCAGTTGCATATATTGGACACCAGAAACACAGTTTTCAAAGTGGTTATGTAAGTAAAAACACTAGATTCTGAAATCATGCTCTCTGTTATCTGTTGACAATATTTAACACTGTCCCAGTAACAGACCTTCCCTGTTCTTAAATAATGGAAGACATCAGAAAAAATACCGGTGTGTTGGCTTTAATATTACAGTACATGCATCATACTGATGTCTGCAGATCAGAAATCTAGAGCTGATAAAAGACACCAAGAAAAGCAAAATAGCTACTCACAAATATGCTATTTCTCTGCACTGATCACAAAGATGCCAAAACATTTCATTTGTACATTCCTTTTGTACCAAAGTATTAATCTAAATGTTGTAGTCATAGCAGCATGATTGGATGGCCAGAAGTTACAAGTCTGAAGTAATAAAGAAAGGACTGTTACCATTCTCTAACCTTTGCTCCGTCTTGTTGTCCATTTCACAAATTCATCCTCATGCTAAAACACTGAGCAGGATGCAATTGTTCTGGACTGCAGTGTTTAGTCCACCCACTAGGTCTAAGACCAGTGTCACTGTAAAACTGTCTGTCAAGAAGCGTTCCCAGAATCCCAAACAGCTGCACCAAGTTTTTGTTTTTTTCATGAAAATCATTTTTCTGTGTACTGAAGACTGTTTGTTTAGAATGCTGTAAAAACTGTAGAATTATGTGCAACTGAGTGGGAGATGATCCTGGAAGTGTGGGATGCTTAATTACATATGAAGAGGAAATTACACTGGTTTTCTCTCTCCCTTTGTACAAAGGTTTGTTTAACCACTTCAAACTCTGTTATCCCGAGCCATTTACTACTTCTGTGATTTTAGGTTTACTTTATTAAACATATTTTTACCTCTTCTTCTAATATTCTTCAAATCCTTACTGCTTCTATCATTAACCTACTGACAGACAAGTCCATTACAGAGTACAGACAATCTTCCCAAGAGTTCTTTTTGCCTGAGACAACTAAGTCAGATTTCAATGTTCTAAGCATTAGGCCCAATGCCTTAACCAGTTTCATGCTTATTTCTCTGAAGCGGGAATGGAAAAGTAGAAATGTTTTTCAGTAATATAGCAATTATTCTGGAAAGAATGTCCAGAAGTACAGACTACATATATATTTCTAGAGTACACCATTATTCTTTTAACCTACCAGCCTTTAGGTTCTGATGTTATACTCTGAACTGTTACACAAAAAACCAAAACTTAATTCATTTACTTCTGAACAAAAATATCCAGATCCAAAAATTAGTCATGAACTAACTGCCCAAATGCATGCTGAGAGCAGAATTTACAACTGACCCTAAGAATACTATTCCATGCAATTTTGAATGGAGGAGAATGTCTACTATGGGCAAATGATATTAAGATTTCTATACTTTTCAAGGACATACGTTACACGATTAACTTACAAGCTCTTCC